ACTTGTGTGGAGGTGTTTTAAAACGCAACTGGTTGAATGAAGTTGGCCTTTGAGCTTCCACGCGTTGGCCCGAACGATTTATCGTTGAAATTGATGTATGCCTCCCTTTAAATTCATAGCTTGCTTTCAGTTAAAAATGGCTCTTCTTTACTACAATGAAATCCTAGTGGAGTTACTAAATGTGAAATTTCTTCTGTCCAATAGAAACATGCTTCTAAATAATCTGTAACGCTTAAACAAGGATTTGCTCAGCCCAGGTCACCTAAGGTCATCTAAAGACTATGGAATATGAAGAGAAGCTGGATTTAGAAGAATTTGGCCTTTTCAAACGAAAAGGTATCTTGTGAAATTTGTTCCACGATAACATAAGTAGATCTCATGATGTCATTGAATTGCGCTTAGCCTTGTCTCATATTGTCGCAGAAAAGTCTCGGCTACTAGTTCTTAATCCTCCTTTAAGTGGACTAATCTTATTAAGTCTTTATTCAGAATTGCCGATGGTTTCTTAACATATCGTGCTCTGTGGATGCCTGTCGGACAAGAGATGTCTGCATAGTCTTGCCTGCAAGGCCCATTTTATATTGCATCCAGCCCATTTGCGACCCAAACGAAGCTGCTTTCAACGGCTTTCATGGTAGCCCTGGAATATTTCTAAAACTTTTGCGAGAGATATATCCTCATTCATGCTTATAAGACGACAATAGGATACAGGCGTTTTAACCCTTCTTTGGTGTCCCTGAGGCCCACTACTTCAGAGTTTTTCTCTCCCTTTGCATGCTCTGCAGGCTCTAATAGTTACGCTGCTTTGTTTAAAGCGATTTGATTGACAGTTTTGATCTAAAAGATGCTATCGGCAAAGCCAGCTAACCAACCCCGAGGGAGATGAACAAAGAGGGTGCTTTTCGCTTCCTCAGTTTCCATTTAATCTTCCATTCTTGACCAGATTGGCATTCAGCTAACTTTTCAGGATAGATAAAAAGGAAAACTCATGCTAGGACAAACTTTGGAGCAGCCTAGTACCGTGGGAAAAGGCCCTAGGGCGCTTCCATCCAGTCTACTTTTAGTTGGAGGACCATCTCAGCAAAATGGAATCTGTTTACGATTTGGATTGGTGAAGAAAACTTGCAAATACAGTCAATAAAAGCACTTTCTTGATATCCATGGCTTCAGCTGAAGCTATTCAAGACGGGATTAAAGTGACTTCCACTGCTATGGATCAGATCCATTATAGACGAGCTGGGCGGAGCACAGATTCTATGCAATCCTAACGCTGCCTTACTTTCCCTTGGAAACGACTATATGAGGCTGGACCATCTGGATCAGGATTTGATTTACCGATTCGGAATGCCATTCTTTGCCTAGAAGAAGATCATGACCGGTTTAATCCATCGCCTCGAGCTGCTAAACCGATATTTTTGCGTCACTGGATATCTTTAGCGCATCTATCTGAAGCTATGGTCGCATAAACAGCTTGTCTGGTATTATGGCATTTGCTCTACTTTAAGAGCTCCAACAACTTCGGCCTTTACAACCTGAAATCTCATTTATTGTGTTTATTTACTTGCTTCATGCTTATGTAATGGTTTTAATTCGCCATGAATTGGTTTTATTTAACGTTCCTGCCTATTCTAACTACTTCACCAGCCATCTCCATGGCGCGCTTAGAGCCTCTATCACATACAGAATGCACTCATTAACGCAGGGCCCAAAAAGAAGATAGTGTCGTTTCATCTGGTCTAGTAGGACTTTTGCCTATCTAATGTCTGCGCCACTAGACGCAGTGTAGTTACTCACATGAATGTATGCGTAGCCACGTCTCTTTATTGTACTCAAGTAGTGTGGGTATGCTCGTTTTGGAGTGCGATCTCTAGAATGCCCCATTATTTTGCCACTGTTAGGGGGTCCACTTGTCCTTTGTCATTGTACTCTGCTCTACTCCCTTTAAGTTCATCATTCTCATGACACTTCCTTCTCTCACGTAGCTTATCCACCTCTTATATGTACCAACCTCTTCCCCTGACCTGCTGACTTGGCAAAATAGTCTAGACACATACAGAAACGCACACACACACACACACACACACGCTCATTGACAAAGGCGTGTTCGGCCAAATACACACGCATACATGCAGGCCTACGGACACTAGAGAGCACGCCTAAACACACCTACACGCAAAAGCATCTATGCTCTTCACTATTCCTGTCCTCGGGATTCCATCTCCAGAATGAATCCCCTTAAAAGAGGTGGACCAACTACGTCAATAATCCCGTCAGCTGGGTTGATGTCCATTAGTTCGCCGGGGAGATATTGACATGAGGAATGAGTGACCGGCAGAGTTTCCTTTCCGTTGATGCCTTATCGGGTAACTACACTCATCTGAACCTGCCCACACAGCCATGCAACGCACACAGTTGCACACAGACAGAGGTCGAGATGTCCCTCACACATAAGCATCATTAAGTCTGAAGGTTGCGGCTCTAATGCACTACAGAAAGCGCCACTGCTCAACCTCGGAGACGTAGAGGGCAATTCAGATTGCATACGCCTAGGGCAGATTTGGCCAGATGACTTATGAGGTAAAGGGAAAACGGGCTTTAGGTCTCATTAGGGATGCGATGAGACTGGAGATAGTGAGCGAAAGACAACTTAGTCAGGTAGGTGATGGTAGAGATGAGGGGTGAGTGGGAGTAGAGGTACAGCATGGGGCAGACGGGAGAGCACACGATTGTAGTATCGAACTTCAAGAACACGCCTCTACATGTGCTCATGTATCCGACGTCAAGACTCCAATTAATTCCAGACAATATACCTTATCAATCACAATGATTTCTACTCCTTCGCCTCTATTATCTCCCCATTTTCCCATTTCTTTGCTCTTAGTGCACATCCCTATTCGGCTCGGTGAGGAAGTTTGTGACCCACACGCACACAAGGTTGCTCTATTTTGCGTTAACCATCCCCCCTCCTTAGGACTATGCTCATTTATTTATTTGTTGGGTTTTTGAGTCTCCTTGATGAATTAATCTTCTGTCCTGCCTGCCCCCTTTACTCAAAAGTTCTTTGCCACTGACAAACCCACCCGTTTTGAAGGCGGGCCTTCAAAACCTCGAAAAAGCCGGCAGCTAGACGAGTAGCCCTCACGGGCAGCCTCCATTCGGGCCGTCCACGCGTTGCCAGGGTTGGGGCTTGTCTTCAACACAGAGGCGGAAGCACTTGACTGGCCATCGCATGGACAGTGCGCATTCGGGCGCGCGCGATAAGATGGAGGATAGAAGCATCCTTCCGCTAAGCCGGGTAGGGCAGGGGGTGTTCTGGTGTATGCATTGTTATCGGCTTGACAATGAGGCATGCGAGGGATCACTGGATCTGTTGACGCAGCAATTTTCCCATCCTCTGATAGGCTGACTTTTGCTCGAAGCGCAAACCTCGGTCGGCCCGGTGGACGCAAAATGAGGCACGGAGAGACGAAACGATTCGACACGAAGGATGCGAGTTCAACCGAGTCTTTCGCGTTGTTCCTGCCTCAACCAACCTGTCAGTATTTCCTTTTCTTGCCGCCTTCATACTTCCTCATACCGGGACGGTCCAGCCGACTCGGATAGACACCAATTCTAATGAGCCTCTATCACATCCACAGGGCCGATCTTCGCATAAGCTCGCAAGTTCGTCTATCATACGTTTCGGTAGTTGCCTGATCCCACCACTATCGGGAGGGCAAGATCCCTGAATAATACGTCCATCATCATAGGTCGTTTTATGATTTTTTTAAGGACTGATAGTTGAGTTTTCCCACCGTATAGGCGCCGTGAGAACTACTCGTCTGCTTCTGAAAGAAAATCAAGCACTATTCACATTGCCAGTGCTATTGGTGTTACCCGGTAAAACCGATCCTCTTATGCTTTATCATACATTGGCATCACCCCTCAGTTATGCCGCTATCTGAATTTCGATGGTTTTACTAATCTTTTGTTTTTGGCACGGTGAGCAGTATATGGGTAGAAGTGGATACTTATTCGATAATTTCTGATATTTTCGTGACATACTCATACCCAAAATAGGTATCTTCATCGAAGGTAATGCCAAGTGGGTATTTGACTTTTCAAAAATCCCATCATAAAAATGTGGTTTTGGAGAGGCTTGGGTATCCTTGAAAAGCCCACTTCCCTAGTGACCTGCTGGCTCCCATAGCTGTTTAGCGAAGTGATAACGGGTTGCCACGATGTCCATGATCCGGTATCTAGTTCTTTTGGGGGCATTGCAGTCCAGCTTATATACAAAAACCTCTGGATGGCATCGTGAGGCCTATACACATAATTGCGGAATAAAACCCCATTACAAGTTTTCAACTAGGTTTAAGTGACCTAGGGTGACTAAGAATAAGAACAATAACTGTATTCAGTTTTTAGTATTTAGTTTAAAGTAACGAAGGACCGATAGTTAAATTTTTCCACAAGGAGATGATATAAGATTTATTGATGACCTCCAAAAGTTACTTAAAAATGTAAATAAGTTGTCTAGTCGATTTCTATAGCAAATACAAATCTGCTTAATCGACAATCCAACCACAGAAATGGGATATGGGAGAGGTCTGGCCTTTCTTGAAATTGATATCTGCCTGAGGGTTCGATTCGCGCTGGGAATGCGCATTAGACCCAGGCGAGGTCTAAATTGTAGTAGATCCTGGATAAAAATACCTTTTGGAAAGCAAGTTTATGTGAAATTAAATGAAATCATGAGGTCTAATCATATCATTGTATAAAAATGCAAATACTACGCCTCAACATCTTCACACCATTTTAGACAATTTTTAAGCCTTTAAATTTAATTGAAGATACGAAGAAAGACTGATACTAGAATTTTCCCACAATGATATGACGTTTCCATTGAATTTCACATTGTCTTGCTTTCCCAAAAGTTTTTTTATCCAAGGTAGACTGCAGTTTCGACCTCGCATCGGTCTTATCAACACCCCTAGCGGGAGTCGAATCGTGACAGTGCAGAATAGGAGCTTTACACGTTAATCACTCGACCACATTGCCACTGGTACCTTTGAGTCACAGGGCATACTTGAATTTCAAGGAAGGTCAGGCCTTTTTGCCATATCATGTTCTTCATATAACTTATTTACTGGTAGTCTCGAAACTACTTCAATACGAAAATAAACCTATGTTATCTGAGCAAACTGTGGACGCCTATCTCTGGTCGCATGCGGCTTCTCAAGTGGATTGCTAGTCCATTTTGGCCATAACGCCGAATTTCCGTAAAGGTTTGCTTATTCGCCTGCCCAGCTCCCTGACTGCCAGGCCCCCAAAGTTGTACTGGTTTATTCGAAATGGGCATCACCCACTAACAACGTCTTCGCTTCATTGCCGAAATCCCCTTCCCCCAATTTCCTCATCGTGATCCCTTACCCTCCGGTGAGCAGTAGATCCTTGATTTAGGCGTCTCTTTTTTGCTGGTCTTGCTATATTCTTGTTTGCCCCGAGTTTGCTTAGACAGTAGGCAAAGTTATCGCTAACTCTACCTTCCTCCAATCTCCTGTTCATTAGATTTTTCTCCACAATGATGTCAATGGCCTACCTTATCTTCCGCCTCCCTGTATTGTCACCGTATGGGGCTCTTCTTTATGTTTCCTTCAAATTGATCTCGTGTCCAGTCTGTGCGATGTGTTCCGCTG